TCTTTTATACGGATACACAAAGGTCTGCCCGTTTCGCCAATATATTCATCTCCGCAATTGCTACACGAGATCAGGTATATTGTACCTGAACTCATGCAATCACCGTCCCTGACGTAAGGGCAAATTACGCAATTTGTTGTTTCACACAGACGGTCATACAGGCGGTTGCGAACTAATTGGCGACGTAGAGTAGTCGGTAGTCCTCATTGGAAGTCACGAAAAAGCGGTGGGTTTTTCCAAGAAGTTGTTGATCATGTAATTACCATAGTTTTTCGTCTTTTTGTAAGTGTTATTGAAGCGTTTGGCCTAGTAGATTATATATCAGTATACCCTTCCAGGCTCTAAAGAATGCGATACTGTCGGAATGTTAGCTAATGTTGTATTGTATTGTGTTTCTCTATGAAAGTAAATGAATGCTGTTTAACAACCTCGCGATTGCTGAACAAGAAAACGACGCATTCATACTCCAATGCTGAGGTTAAGAGAAAGTCGATCCTCGGAACTATTATAAATCGCAAGACAAACTTGCACTGAAAAAAGCGGGAATAACAATAGTACAAAGCTACGAACACCAAGCATACTCTCCAGCCTTTCACCTACCCACTAAAAAGAAGTAGTTCTAGTTATTCCTTGATTAATAGATTCAGTTAAAATCCGGTTCATATGTATTCAAATATAAAACTTAAAAACGAAAATAACCTCGACACACCTTCGCAAGGCAACGAATAAATTTGATTTGTCACTACGAACGTTTGCTTACCCAACAGTTCCGCTTGAGATGCCATTGCGGCAAAGTGAGCCACATTTCGCCCATAACAGTCAGTTACATTGATAGATGCGCCTCCTTCTCTCAATAAAGATAACATTGGAATATGTCCTCCACAGGCCACGAAATGCATAGCAGTGCGACCTAGGTTGTCACTGAAAAAATTATGCATGATATAATAACTAAAAACAATACCAACAAGGAAAAAAGGGAAAAGTAAGCAAGCAACTAATTGATCAACGAAAATCAACGAGGTACACCTCTCAATAACTCAAAAGACCGATTTTCTATAAACCTCGGTGTAGATAGTTGATATTTTCATTTGTATGATCTTATAAACTGATCTTCCTTAGTTCATGCGAGGTTGATATAGGTCTTCGTTGTCGTTGCCGTTGGTGTAGTTGGTCGATGGCTGACGTTTCGGCGATTTCCCTTTCCTTAGAGCTCGGACGTATTTTATATAGAAATATTTTAATTATTCGGTGGAAAAAGACTAAAGCACTAATGAAGATCAAACCTTTAAGTAGACGCCATATTGAACAGAAAGGCCACTCACCGTGATGTTACAAGTGGGACTGGCCCACGCGTTGTTAACGTGTGGTCGCGAGCGAGGCACACCCGGGGGTCAAAATATCGTTTTGAAGTAGGGCACCAGGTCACGTGTGGTAGTTAGACATTCATCCTTCCGATTCATCTTTGGATTTTTGAAATTTATCCAAAACGCCTCAAGAGCTTTGTGTGTCGATGTTTTCGTTTCCTGCGCTAGGATCCACACAGTCACTTCAAAATAATCGCCATTGTGCTTTTGTGCCCAATGTGTACCTAGAGGAGCGTTTTGACGAATTTGGACTTTCCCATCTAGATGTTCTTTTATGCCGACACAAAGTGGTCCACCTGTTTCCCCAATATACTCATCACCGCATCCGTTACATGAGATCAAGTATATTATACCTGAACTCATGCAATCCCCGTCTCTCCCGTTAGGACAGACCATACAGTCTTCTGAACTGCACTAACGATCGTAGAGACGGTTGCGAACTAACTGACGGCGTACGTTATTTGGTGGAATGTCAATAATCGTCACACAACTTTCGATACCACTTTTTCTAAGGCACCTCTCATTGGAGTACCTCACTTCGTTCGATATGAAGGGTAGTTTGAAAAGAACTTCATTTAGATTTGAGGCTCTATTTTGGCAAATAACCCTACCTTTTGGTCCGAACTGAGTGGCTTCGGCTTCACAGCCGTTATAAATGGCTATTTTTGTGCCCAGTTTAGCGACTCCTTCCTTTCCTCCACTCTTGTGCACACATTTTTAACCGTTCGGTACATGTTTTTGACGAGTGCTTTTTTCACGTGTGAAGAACGAGAGGAGAGGTAGTGAACTAGTATATTTTTACTATTTGGCTTACGATATCATTTTGTTATATAGCCACTTCCTGAAAGCTTTATTTGGATGTTTAAGAATGGATGCCAGTTTTTGGTTGGTTTTTCCCGTGTAAATTTTATATATTCTGACTGTCGGTTTAAGAATTCAAAGCTCATCCATCTGTTCTTGGGTGGAACAGACGATGAAGCAGTCGCCTGTTTCGACAGGCAACCCATCTACTCAACACCAAAATATTTCTAGAGCACCTACGCTACACGCAACCAAACAGCACGCATGTGATGGAGTCATTCGGTTTTACTTCACTTTATACCAACATGTCGAATGACACCGCAATGCAAGTCGTTCTCGAGCTGCTCGCAGAGCATGAAAAGAAAGTAAAAATGTACGAGTTGTCGATTGCGCAACTAATGACTCTCTTAAAACAATGCCTTAATTGTTCAATCTTAAGGTGATTTGGAAAATATTTTGCGCAAATTAGAGGGTTAGCCATGGGACAGCGCTTAGTACCAAGCCTTGCCGTCGCTTTCATGTCTTAGGTGGAAGCCCTAGTTCTCGGTCGCTGACCCTTACTCTACTGTTGGTGCATAGACGACTGCTTCATCGTCTGTTCCATACAAGGACAGATAGATGAGCGCTTTGAATTGTTAAACCGATAGTCCGAGTATATTAAATTTACTCCAAATAAAACTCTCAGAAAGTGGCTATGTAACAGAATCGTATCGTAAGCCAATTAGTAAAAACATACTAGTACACTACCTCTCCTCTCATCCCTCACACATGAAAAAAGCATATCAAAAACGTACTGTACGGCTAAAATATGTGCACAGCAGAAGAGGAAAGGAAGGAATCGCTAAACCTGACACGAAAAATAGCCACCATTTCCAATTGCTACGGAACAGAAGCCACTCGGGTTAGACAAAAGCGTAGTGGAGTTCCCCAAAATGATGCTTCGAACGTAGGTAAGACCCCCTTTAAACTACTCTTCATATCAAATGAAGTAAGTCACGCCATTAAGAGGTGCTTAAGAAAAAGTGGTATCGAAAGTTGTGTGACGATTATTGACATCCCACCCAATACCCTACGCAGTCAATTAGTTCGCAACCGTCTCTATGATCGCATGTGCAGCTCAGAAAACTGTATGGTCTGTCCTAACGGGAGAGACGGGGATTGCATGAGTTCAGGTATAATATACTTGATCTCATGTAACGGATGCGGTGATGAGTATATTGGGGAAACAGGTGGACCACTTTGTGTCGGCATAAAAGAACATCTAGATGGGAAAGTCCAAATTCGTCAAAACGCTCCTCTAGGTACACATTGGGCACAAAGGCACAATGGCAATTATTTTGAAGTGACTGCGTGGATCCTACCGCAGGAATCGAAAAACATCGACGCACAAAACTCTTGAGGCGTTTTGGATAAATTTCAAAAATCTAAAGATGAACCGGAAGGACGGATGTCTAACTACCACACGTGACCTGGCGCCCTACTTCAAAACGATATTTTGACCCCTAGGTGTGCCTCGCTCGCGACCACACGTTAACAACGCGTGGGCCAGTCCCACTCGTAACATCACGGTGGGTGGCCTTTCTGTTCAATATGGCGTCTACTTAAAAGTTTGATCTTCATTAATACTTTAGTCTTTTTCCAACGAATAATTAAAATATTTTTATATAAAATACGTCCAAGTTCTAAGGAAAGGGAAATCGCCGAAACGTCAGCCATCGACCAACAACACCAACAGCAACGACAACAAAGACCTATACCAACCTCGCATCAGCTAAAGATCAGTTTATAAGATTATATAAATGAAAATATGAGGATTCGAACTTCACTTATCTCTAATGGGAAAGAAAATAGTTACTAGTGGTGCATCGTTTATGTTGATGGTTGCTAAGTATAAATGTCAAAGGGATTTCCACTCGGAAAAAGCAAGACTGCATTGCCGTTGCTTTATAAAGTGCCATTACTTAGTTACTTGGATACTTGGATGGCCCATTCTCACTGGTTGTGCGGGCCCCAGCATAATTTCCGCTTTTGTTTTTGTTTTGCTGGTTTAGTCATTGTGGTTCCCTGGAGCATTGAGGTCAGGCTGGTCAAAATCTGCCCCAGATCGTCACCACTACAGGCAGTCTCCGTTCCTGTGGATGAGAGGGAGATTTGCCATCATGAGACTAGTTTTATACCAGGAGAGTGGTGGACCCTAGCGTTGGCATATTCTTGGCTGTGCTTCCTGATGGAAACGCCGGACTCCTCAACTTGAGAGACTCCGCTGGGAACGAGTCCTCCCGCTGTACATCGCATGATGAGGTGGTAAACCATTGAGTGGATAAAGTAACATTACGAGTATAAGGCACTTAAAAATGAACGGTAAAGGAAATCTGCGATTCCAACAAATTTCAAAGATTGTAAACTTACACGGAAGCCATGTTAATTCCAGCCTTTAACAACAATTCGGCAACCTCAGTGTGACCGCGATAAGCAGCATGATGCAAAGCTGTACATCCACGGGAGTCGCCACTATCTAAACAGAAATGCAACAATTTTTATAAGCACGAATCAATAATTATCAATATTTCAATCGAGAAACTCACTCAACATTGAGTAATTCTCACGTAACAATAACGACGTAATGCTAGGCACGTTGTGGATGGCACATATATGGAGAGGAGTTTGAAGCAATTTGCATTGAATGGTAGGATCACAACCTGATGAATAAATACTCTCGGCTAAAAATCTTTCTCTCTCCTCTCTGAACGACTCTTGGTTAAGGCTCTAAATTCGAAATCCTAAACACTTAATTTTTAAATATCAACTATCATACCTACTACGCTGATATGAGAATGATACTACGACCACTTTCTTCTTGATCATTAGTCTTGATGAACCGAACAGAATTATTTCCTTTATGAAACACATCAGTATAAAAAGCACTTACATTTTCAGTTTTGGATATGAACAATCGCTGGTCAGGTAAGTATCAGCAATATACGATTTCATCAGTACCTGATATTTCTAAAATGACTTGCCTGATCAGCTTTCTAGGTCGGAAATTCAAGACGGTACAGAGGAATAAGATTGACATTCTATTCCTAAGGAGTATGTGTAGCGTAGTTATCGGAGGCGCCATGCCATACACATGGGATCGATCCCTGCTCCACAGGCCCACCAAGCCGTTCATCCTTCCGGGGTCGGCAAACTGGCAGGCTTCTTTGGCAGGATAACAGCACTAGCTCAACACATGGGTAAGCCATCTCGAGTCATTGTAAAGGCCAGATATTCATTCAATCACTTCCAACGATGCTTACTGAAGTCGAATGCATGGCGCATCCCTCAGAGATAGATCAACGACGAGAGTTTTTTTAATCACTCTTTAACATCGGATGCACACTAGATTGCAAACTTGTGGAAAGCGAAAAACACCACTTTTAAGGCATCTCATTCCTATTGTGTTTAGCAAGAAGGCACATATGTTATGGGAGTTGCAGACACAGAAGTTGCATTTCCTAATTCCGTATACCAAATCTGCAGCTTATTTGCCTATAGGAAGCTCTGAAACACTTCCCACGTAACTCATTTACTGGTTTCTAACATGTAGGGCAAAATATGATGTACAACATCAACACAGGAGACGTAAACACACCCAAAAACTTATTCGCAAACCATTACTTGTGTATACGGAACGGCATAGGTTAATCTGCCATATCAAATACATGGAATACACTGATGTTTCACGGAAGGCTTTCGGTAGCTCCTCGCCTACATTTAACCACTCATCGCGCGCTTAAGAGCGCACCACTTAGTCTCATGGATAACTTGGTCTGAAATACCTCATATCAGATATCAGTGATCCGTAATTGTTCTCTTTAGTTTGTGAAGATTCAAAAAAGTAAGATGTTGTAGAACCAAGAACTATAATAGCAATAAAAAAAAAGATATGTGGCGGTACGATTGAGATTTTCCTACTAGAGGAATACGAAACCATCAAGAAAGATAACTAACAATATGTTAACTCGCAAAACGATTAATAGATAAGTCATGAAGTATAGTTTTATTCTAAACGGGACGTACAACACTTACTGAAGCAAGAAGAATTTATATGAATACAGTAAATTGTAGCACTAATCCCATCAATAACAGTAATCGCCCAATACTTCGATTATAAACAAACTCTCCATTCGTTCTAGTGCGTGCCAGAGTTAAGTTGTAGGTTAGGCTCCCTAGGTGAACACGAAGAACACTTTTCCCAAAGATCTTACGAAAAAAAACTCGACCGCTCGATGAGTGAATTCCTTGCTGTGCGCTTGATACTTCGTGGGACTTCAGTAATCAACAGCTTTTTAAGCGGTTGTCGTTGGGATGCAATTAAGTGGAAGCGGCTTTGGGGTTTGATCGCCGACATATGTACGTTGAAGTTTTAAAGTTCCTCTTGCAATTTTACCATGTGGGATAATCGTAGTACTACCCCTCAATAGAATATTCTATAACAGCAAACACACTTTCACTCTGCTTCAGAGCAGTCGTGGGATTGAAAAAAATGAGCACGAAGCTAACAAATCTCGGTCGACTTTACCAAATCCTCAGTGCTCTTGTAAGCCTTTTAAGTTGCTGGTTTCCTTATGCTTAGACATGAAACTGTCTTTCAACACGCTAACTACCTAACTCATATACGCATGGCTAGGGCATCGAGGCGTATTCATCCCATCAAGCTTGAAGACTATGGGATTTCGCAATGGAATCAGAATACGCTTTTAACAAACATTTTTGTCCCATTTAGCGAAAATCGATATCCTTATGGTAGCTGAATTTTTGTTCAATAACATAGTTCTTTCGGATTTACGCTGAACGTTGCACTCTGAAAGATACGAAAAGAAGCGTACGCTTTTTGGTGAGGATTGGCAGTATAATCTTCAAATATACACCTCTGATCATAGCAGGACAGTTTGCACGATTCTTAACCTACGATTGCAAGCAGCGAATATTTCCTTTGAACGTAAAAGGTCGATCGCCTTGGCTATGTCACAGGCAAAGCCACCGTAGGCTATTCCGATGATTTTCACGACCTCTTGAGGTTTCAATTAATAATGCTGCTCTTCCTTTCCTAACATCTCTTGTCGCTTCTAAGCAAAGCTTCGCAAGCTTGTTCGTAGGTAGGAAAACGTCTACGACTCACATACCTCCTGACAGATTTTAGAAATTGAGATTCCTGGTGAAACTCCTAGCTTTCTTAACATCAACTTAACTAAACTTGGCGAATACGATACCACCACAAAGAATGAACAAAGAAGTGAAAAGCACGAGCTCTCAGTGCGTTTCTTGAATTCTGCATCTTCCTGTCGTTTCTAAGAAAAAAATCGCTTAAAGGAAGCAATGCTATGGTCATCTGTAGTATCAGGGCAACAGTTAGGTAAAACCTTTGATTCTCCATGATGTGGTTAATTTTACTGCTACTCTCAACTATAAAACTCCAACGTCCAACAAAACAGAGCTTCCACAAGTGTGAGTTGTCAAGTTTAATACTGGCCACCATAGTGATCAGACAACCTCTCACTTTCTTCGTTCTATTGTAATTCATAAGTGCCTATATTAGATTCTCCTAGGGCCAGTTTGACGCTAAGACGTTGGTGACGAGTTTGTAGAAAGTATGAGCTTCTAAACAAAAGCTATCCCTATTCCATAAAGAGTCGACCTCAACTTAGCCTTTACTGTCACCTGATGCGGGGAATGTGCGATGAAGACTTTCAAAAGATGGGAAAAAAACAACCAAACCAAAGGAAAACAAGCAAGCCATAGTTCATCCGAGACCTTCTAAAACAGAATTCATAAAAACGAGTTACTTTAAAAACGTTATACCTTTATCAATGAGAAGTTTCGCGACATCGAAGTTATTTGCCGAAATCGCGCGATGCAGCGGTGATAGACCTAGTGAGTCTTGTGCATTAATATTTGCACCTCTTTCTGGAACAGATTTTAAAATGATATAAAAAATTTGACTAAATCAATTCAAAGACAACATGTAACAAATGAAAAGGAATGCATCGTTTAGTGCATCAAGACTGATAACTTATTTAGTTCGACACTTGGATGACCCGTCTACACTTGTTGTGCGGGCCTCAGCATAATTTACTTTCTCGGAGTTTCGTTGATTTAGCCATTGGAGTTTCGTGGAGACCCTGGGTCAACCAAGCCAAAGTCTACCCTGGGTCGTCACCACCACATGCAGACGCTGCCTTTGTGGATCAGAGGGAGATTTGCCACCATCCGACTTTAATACCAAGACGGTGGTAGACCCTGGTATTGGCTTACTCTTAGGTGGGTTTCCTGATGGAAACGCAGGACTCCTCCAAAGTTTGGGAGACCCTGTTGAGGGAATGAATCCTCCCACTGTACACTGCAACCCGACACCCAGGGACACCTCCCGGCAACCGTGGTTAACCGTTGGGAGGCAAGAGTAACAAAGTAAAAAAAACAACTGGGTAGAAACTACCAACAAATCCAGAATATATAGGAGCAAAGCGGAAAGAAACTAAAAAAAATACCGAGAAATGGACCAACCAAGGAGCACTGATGTAATCGCCACGTCTCCAACAAAGACGGCATAATGTAATGGTGAGTTTCCGTGAGAATCCGGATTGCTGACGTCGAAACCATTGCGTATAATTGACTTCACGGCAGACTCATCCTTCGTTAGTATCGCCAAGGTCAGTTCATTCTGAAGTTGTTAGTGAAAAGATACAATGGATGGTTGCACAATCAGATGTTTCAAGCGAGAAAGAAAGAAAAAACGATGGGAAACTATGTGAAAACTGTCCTGCGAAATCGTAACTGGTATGGTCCAATAGGTGACGAGCCTAAATCTCCACTAAGAAGCTAAAATACTAAGAACTTAAAAACCATTCCTATATAAACGTAATTCACCAGACCTTTCCACATGCTGTTATTTCCATTTACTTCCTCATTCCTTTGTTATTCTAAGCTATCTTCAATAGAAAAACAGAAGCAGAAGGATCGGATAAGATGCTTACTTCAACACCTGACATCATTTCTGTAGAGTAAAAAATTTGAAGAGCATATGATTTAACTGGTCCCTTTAGATTGTAGTTCTTTGAGCCACAATCTAAAATAATTGATTAGAAGCTGTACTACGAAAAATTATCCACAACGATACGAAGAAGCATCTGATTAATAACCTAACCCATTTGACTATTTGCGATGTATGAGTGCCACTCGGTTCATTTCGTCCTACAGGTTGTCGTTTTTCCAGTTATCAAAAAGAACCTAGTGATGCCTTTTTTAAAGGAAGAGGAAGAAATAAGGTGCATTTTAACGAAATATATTTCATTAGGAACTCATTCTGAAATTAAAGTAGTTTTCTCAAAAACCCGTTCACACCCAGTCGTTGACATCCAGGAAAACACAAATGTGAAGAAGGCAATATTCTCAAGGAGAACGTTCTTTCGTTGAGGATTGAATTCCAGACTGCCAGTAATCACTGAGTCCAAAAACCATCAACACTTTATCCAATAAGTTTGTTCTAAACAGATTTTCCAACTTCAATTCCACTAGGGCCAATATAAGCCTTAGGATCACTACGCTAAATGGTCTCTAGCGTTATTCTCTTTAACACTGTAACTAAAAATGCATAAATGCAGAGCCACATGACTCAGTATCTCAAAGGCATGAAAGGGATACTTTCAGTGAAAATATAGTTACAACATCACCTCAGTTACCTTAATTTCTTGAACAAATCAACAAATAAACACAGATCAAAGAGCGCGTAAAAATATTTCATGAACGGACCACTGACGTCAACTATAACTCACGGGTCTGGCGGTGAATGGTCAGAACTCGTCCGGGAAGGCGACGTCTGCGACGGAGCGCCATTGCGCTGTCGACTGATCCTCTTGAATGACCGCCATAGGGTCCAGTGGAGTTATTGAATAGAGTTGACTTGTAAAAACATGATTAGATATGTTGAAGCTATTGTACGTGGAAGAAACGATTACGGTGTGTTGCTGAACATGACAAAACCGGCATCTGTTGTCTTTTTGTTAAGCCCACACGAGGTTCTTAACATGCTGTTTATCCAGGAAATCTGACGCTTCGGCGAATTTCGCCTTCTGCAGACCCTGAAAGGTCAAGCTCTTGGCAATCTAATGCCATACACCTCTATAGCCAAACGGAGAAAGTGCTAAACCAAGTTCTCAATCGCAATGAGAAAAAACGGCTTCTTCACCCATTCATTGCCTGCTATGGGTCTTCCACTTAGTAGTCCACATGGATGGGTAATGTCCCTGTCGTTAAGATATCGTTGAAATATCAGTCGGAGTAACTGTATAGATTACTGATTAAAGCCGAGGTTAACAGAAAGTCGTCGTTCTTGGAAATTCCCGACATTTGTCTTAAATTCACCGAATAGAGATAACCCAACTCTTTAACTTGCTTCTTGTCGGTCTGGTACACCTGGGATGCTACACTTACTGATTTAAAAATTCACTGTTATAAAGCACTAAGGATGAAGCTCTCGGTGTTAACCAGTCCCTGGGGGATGCGCCATGCATCCGAATCTATTCGTAGCATCGTTGGAGGTGATTAAATGCATATCTGGTCTATGCAATGACTCGCGGTGGCCTGCCGATGTATGGAGCCAGAGCTGCTATCCTCCCAGACAACTCTCTTACCAATTTGCCGAACCCAGAGGGGTAGAAGGCTTCGTGAATTTGGGGCGCGGGCATTGATTCCCTGTGTATTACAGGACGCCTCCAACCACTGCACTAAACGCGCCCCGTAGCAATAATTAGTCATCTCTGACGATATTAATTAACACCTAAAGCTTTATTCTACTATTCTTTAGGATCCTTAGAATATAGTTCGCCGCATGGTTTGCTGAACATGTCTAATTTTAGGGGCTTACTGTAAGCTTTGTTGCTAAATGTATTAGGGAATGTTGAAACTAAGACATTTAAAGGGATCGTTCGTTACCATCATCACGACTAAACACAAAAAAACCACCGCCTTCTAGAGGGTCAAGTCCACTTATCATGCGAATGTAGGCGCGTGTAGCGCAGTGGACGGAGGCGCCCTGCAACACACACGTGGAACCGACCCTCGCACCCATGGCCCACCAAGCCTTCCATCCCTCCCGGGTTGGCAAACTGGTACTAGACTCGTTTAGGGGATAGCAGCAGTGGCTTGATACATCGATAGGCCATCGCGAGTCATTGTACAGGCCACATATGCATTCGATCACCTCCAACGATGCTTAAAGTCGAATGCATGGCGCATCCCTCAGGGATTGATCAACGCCGAGAGCTTTATCCTTTTTTTTTATCATGCGGATACATTCGACATGCTACGAATTCTGAACGATAGTGGTGTTACCTACAATAATGCTGAGATATTTGCAAAACTCCGGGCCGCTGGGGTCTGCGGTGGGGATCGAACTCGCCGTTACCCTTTCCTGGGGCTAACGCATTATGTAATGGCATTCCCTATAAAGATAATACGAGAACAGACCCCTCCTTGTGAAAAGTTTCCAGTTTACCGAATAGTCGCCAACCAACGACCACCCCGATGAAAAGAGCGACATCGCTTTGTTGCGAGGAGCATCGTCAAGTGCGCGTTTTTCGAATCTCAATTTCTTTTTTCTTTGGACGATCCTTTTATGTTGAGCTCTTTGTTACTTTGTAAGATTATTCCATGCAAATAAGATTAATGGAAGAATACTTAGTAAATGTCATTTTTTCCCGAAACATCCCCGATGTTTCATTTCGGGCCGGAAGGTGTGTCTTATGTGGCACTTGAAGTTGTGCTGCATTTTCCTTTTTCGTTTAATGTTTGAAGTAGTCTCATTAATTTAAAATTAAATGTATTACTTGTATATTTCAAACGCAAATGACAAAAAGTAAGTAAAGTGAGCTGAAAAATAAAGTACACATCGATTTTTGACAGTGTTGCTTCTCCGTATGCATTGGATTGAATACAAATGTATTCAAGGATAAGTGGTCCCTAGATTATTTGAACGTTGTTCCTTATTCTTATCATACTGCTAGACATTTTTCTTTGTTTTTTTTTATTTTGTTCTCTGGTTACTCAGAAGGATAAAGAAACTTGTTAGGCCATGTAACATGTGTCGTCCTTTTTTTAAAGTACCTTTCATTAATTTTTTCTGAAAGAAGAATTTTCTGCCATTTTCCTCTTTTTTTCTTTCTTTCTTTTTTTTCTTCTTAGGTACTCATCTTTAAAGATGAGTAGCTCATTCATGGAAGCTGTTGCTGGTGATTCTATGGAGAGTGCAGCACAACGGGTTTCCGTCCACATCGAGAACATGATCGACTCAGCTGACTTCTTCAATAGATTGACACAGAACGGTTTGTTCTATGATTTTGGGACTTTTCTTACCACTACTGATTGGAAAATGTCTAGGATCATCTCCAGTTTCGGGTCTTGGCGATAGATTCTATACCAAAGGACGCCTTGAGTTCGTTCTGAAGCGGCGGATACCATTGCCGGATGAGTTAACGTATCAGATTCGAAGTGAGTTCTTCATTTAATCGATCACTTCTTTTCCACCATACCTTCTAGAATGTTCTTTCTTGAGTTAGTTTGTGAAGTTATCATAGATTTCTCACGTGGGTTTTCACTCAGATATGCGGTCACAGTTCAGCATGGGTTTGTTCACGGAAATCACAAGAGCATGGGTTATTATCGACAGTGATATATTTATGTGGAATTATGAAACTAAGTAAGTTAAGTTACCGGTTTTTCTTGTTTTCTTTGAATCAGTCCAGTTGGTGTTGCCATTCGAGGTTATAATTCGGCCCATAACCTTGATTTCAGCGAGGATCTCGCTTATTTTGATGCTCTCGAGAGTGTAGTTCTGAAAATTGCGTTAGTTCGTGTAAAAGCCGATGTATTTGCAGTGAGTTCGCTTCCTTTCCGTTTCCTTTTCCTATTTTCTACAGTGATTTTATGAGTTCTTTCACAACTTTAATTTCATTCCCGTTCAGTTCTGGGATCTCGTAGTTTCATTTTCGGAATTTTTCGATATCTATATCACGCGTTTAGCGCAGTGGTCGGAGGTGCGCTGCAGTACACCTGGGATCGATCTCCGCGCCCTAGACCCACCAAGCCCTCCACTCCTCCGGGGTGGGCAAATTGTTAGCAGCCTTATTTGGATAGCAGCACTGACTCGATCGGTAGGCCACCGCGAGTCATTGTAAAGGCCAGAAATGGATTCAATCACAGACGACAGACGATGCTTAATGAAGTCGAATGCATGGCGCATCCCTCACAGATCGATCAACGCCAAAAGCTTTATCTTTTTTAGTTTTTTCTTCATGAGACTGCTCTTAATTAGTTTTCGTAATCGTCTGACTTAAAGATTCGTAGCTTTAGTCACGCATAACGTACGGTTTGATTGTCGGTACGGTCACAGATCTCTCTCTTTATCCTGTTATTATGGACACGGACACGGTCACCGGTAAACATGGTATCGCTATTGATGCTAGTCATTCTTTCAAAGTATGTTTTATTAGCATATATCACTGTTCCTTTTAAAGTTTGATCATTCAACTAGTTGAAAGACAGGCGGAACGAAGGATCCCCACGGTATGATGGTGAACACGTTAACCCCCGGGAAAAAATAGTAGCGCGTTCGTTCCCCATCGCAGTCAGCTGCGGTCTGGAGTTTTGCAAATAGTTCAGCATCGTTGTGGTTTGATCATTCATTCTTTACAGGTTACTCTTGACAATTCTTCGTTGAACGATATTTCATCTACTAATGATGGAAGGATATTTTTTACTGCAGATGACAAGCTGTATGAGTTTGTTTACGAGGTGAGAGAAAAACTTTGTTCTTCCGAATACCACCTTATTATTAAAACTGCGAAACTTTGTATTTGTAATCACGTCTTTGTTTTCATTACAATTCCAGCGTGAAGGAATTAGTGCAGCGTTTATTTTCCTATATAGAGCTAGCGTTTCAGCGGATTTCGGTTTTTCCATTATTTAGAAATTCACCTTAACATTAAGACCATCCAGTTCATTGTTTTTTAATCAAGCATTTGGGCAACTCCCCGGACCACCACCTAGAGAAGACCCCGATCCCCAGGCTCAGTTTCAAAATCGGAGGGTATTTTTTCTTCCTCATTTTATTTCCTACAACACCGGCCAAACGACGTCGTAGAGGGTGACGACTAGAGGAACGCTCCGGTTAGATTAGCCTACGGACTCGACGAGTCACAAATAGCTCAACATGCTCCATTACCCACATACCGCGAGCCTCCGTCTGCGACGTCAGGCTTTTAGAAATCGGTGACAGACGGTCCAATCTCGGGTAAACCATTTCAAATATTTTGAAACAATTCTTTTCTTAGCAGAAAGAACTGTATTTCATGGTCTGTTGAACATATTTTTCTTTAAGCACAATGCAGGATGGTTTGGAGGAGGTCGAAAATGCCGTATTGTTAACAAATCGGTGACACTTCTTAGTACTCTGATCCCATTTCTCGGTCCCGGAAATGGTGAGTTGTATCCTTTATGCACTTCTGGTTTGGTATAGTCACTTCTCTACCATCTTTCAACTCATTCGCTCCTTTATAGGTCTTAGGAAAATAGATGTTTTTGTGAATCATGTGCAAATGTATCATCAGCTTAACACTTCCTATATACGTCTTTTCCAGCTCTTACCTTATGTCCGAGAGCTGTTCCGTTCTAGCACGAATACTAGTAGTTGATTCGGAAGTTCAGCGATTACATGTTCCATTGTACTCTATTAGGAATGTTTCCTGTTCTTGTGTTATCTCTGAGGCATTTGTAACGACTTTTAATCCGCTTCTGGGTTACTTGATGGGGGTTTAATTCGACGTCCTTTCCTGGATCTTTTTTATATATTTCATACAAATGTAAATTACAGCAAGAGCGGTACCGTTATTGAAAAGTCGCTCTCCTGCAAATTTAAGGTTTAACAGTTTGTTTTCTTGAAGCTTTTATCACGTTCTCGTGCTAGTCTTAACATATTATCCGTACTAAATGTACTTGCCAGCTGTGGTTCGCTGGCATTTTGATGTGGGTTCAACTTCTGCATTTCCTCTGATTTTTTTTTGTTATTTTCCTTTAAATCTGAGTTATTAGCAAATCTGCGTAATGAGCTTAGATGATCCCTATCCTTAATGCTTTAGTTATTCCATCCTGTTATTTTGAAAGCATATTTAAGTATTTAGTGGTCGTAAGTATTGTTTTAAGTGGGTTTACCGCCAAATTTGCGGGGACCGATGGATATCAGTAGGCAAGCATTTACATCGGATGTTTTGACCGTTGGCTTCATGAGAGATGTGGAACCTAGGTTATTCTTTATTTTTTCACGATTGTTGTTCATGGTGTTGGCCTAGGTTATTCTGCGATATGTAAGGGGACTTGCAGCCGCGTACACAGCTAGGTGACGTTGGTATCCTTGCATTTTCATGTGATCTGCTTTTTCATTCTTTTTATCCATCAGCTGTCAACTTTTCTCATTTCTGTGTCCATCTTTGGAGATGCGTGGTAATTTTCCAAGTATGAAAATCAGTAGCTCCCATGACCGACTTTACATTAACCTCGACACAAACAAATAGTTCGCTGCTATCTTGAAAAGCACGCACGAGTTGTCACTACACTTCATATTTAGAAAGCTGACGTTTCGGCAGATCCGGCAACGAATCCTTTGGTTAGTGTGTCGGTTTTCTTGCTAGTTGTCTACTGTGAGGCCATCGCCTGGAATTGATATGAACTCAGCCTTCAACAGTAATTGCTTGAGGATCAGTGGTAGAGGAGATTGCTTTAAGGTTGTAGGTACAGAGCGAAAAGCGTCCTTGTCGTATCACTGACGTATTGATTTAATCGGGTTCCATTAAGATCGTGAATGCAACCCTAAAGCGAATTGCCTTTCACTTCCATTGTCTGACTGATTAAACTCATAAACATGAAAGCCTAGTGAGCAGTTTTTGGAGGCTAGTCTATTTCTGGTTGCATAATTTTTTGCTTCGATTTATCCCATCTGGCGGCTTTTTCGGTCCTGTCCTTTCCTCTGATTAGATAGCAGCTAGCTCTTGAATTAAAGGGATGCTCCTTTTCCTGTTTCTTGGATTCGTCTAGCACGGGGGTGATTTATGGAATTAGTTGACAGATCTATTGATTGGGTACGATGTGTGGGCGAGTTTAAGTCTGGAAATATTGGAATAAAAAGTCTGCCATTAAGTCGACGACTATTTAACAAATCGGATACGCGGAAGAGTTAGGAGAACGATGTACAGCCGTATTGGAGTCAAGTATTTTCACCACCTTTCGAAGTATGACCTGTAGTTGGGAGATTACCTTATATGTTTCAGACCCCTTGGCGTGTGCTTACTTTCTTTCCTGTTTTGAGGTAAAACGATTACAGTTTTTGACAGTGACCATCGCTGAGTTTTATTTCACTGGTTAAGGAAATATCATTCAGTCTTGGCTTTTAGGAGTGCTTCTTCCAGAGCTCTTGTAACCTAAAACTTCATTTCTAATTGCTACTTCAGTCGATAGCCCTTTAGAAACAAATAGAAGTTCCAGATTAACATATAGTGGTGTCATTGCTGGTGCTTGCTGCGTTAACCCTTTTCGGAATATTTGTAAAGTGTTCCAGTTTTCCATCGATATTTAGTGCAATTTCGTTTTTGATGGATGATTTTATTGTAACGCATTTCGGACCTCTGAATTTAAGGTGTTCGTTTCTGAATCTTTTGAAATGTACAAAATTTCTCGGATTTGCTCAAGTTTTCTTATGAGAACAGCTTTTCCACTTATTACTCCTTCTGAGGCCTGAAGATGTTAGACACTGCAAGTTTTTCCAATTTATTTACCGCACGTAGTCTTTTTTTTTTCGTCGTGAGGTGTATTAGTCGACAGTAGCTGCCAATATTGAATCTACTAGTAACCTTTCGTTCATTTTCATGTTATAGCAAATATCGTCTATAATTAGATATTTGGGTGACCCGCCTTTACTGATTGTGCGAGCCCCAGCATAATCTCCATATTTTCGGAGTTTTGCTGGTTCAGTCATTGTGGTCCCTTGGAGTCCCGAGGATAGCCTTACCAAAGTCTGTCCCAGACCCCATGCAGTCCCCGCCCAACTGGGCTTCCTAATTGAAGCACCGGACTCATTCTTAGCTTGGGAGACCCTGTCAGGGGATGAATCCTCCGCTGCACATCGCAGCACGACACCCAGAAACATCTCTCAGCCATGATGAGGCTGCAAGCTATTGGGAGGAAATGTCGTGTATATGTTTTGTTTTCATGTCTTTTCCTCTATTTTATTAGTGTTCTTGTTTGAGACCTGTGTTTGCAATACTCATTCGCTTCCTTTCTGCTAATGTGAGTGGAGTTTCTCCCCTTCTTAATAATTTTCACTCTCTGATGTTGGCGAAATACCGCGCATGTCTGTTGATCGTTTAGCCATTTTTGCGGCGAATCTCTTGGAAGGTTTTAAGTTGCTTAGACATTTCATATAAAAAATTTCTCTTTGGGAACATATTTGTGATAATGTATCATTCGTAGCCAATTTCTATTGTGTAGTGGTTACAGGTAAACCCCTTTCGAGTGAATTTCGATCATATTAAACAGTGTTCGCTGTTTTCTTGGTAAGATTGTTGTTATACTATTTATTAGTAGTAGCTAACGTTCTTGCCGGTGGATTTCGTTTTCTTCAGAACCTGGAACATTCTAGTTGACTGCAATCTAGTCAGCTGAACACCTCCATATCCTCCATAGAGAGAGCACGATATCTAAATTTCAGTACAACAAGGAAACAAGAATGGCACAAGCTCCACATAATGACTGTTTTCTGTGAGCCTGCTACTGAGTTTTCCACGTAGGGAGCGCAATAGCAGAGTTCACATAGGTGGGTAATCTGCTTGTCTCACGTTAAAATATCAGTCTGAGATATTGTGTGAAATCACGCGTTGCCACGAACCACTACAATTTTCGCCTCACTTTTGGGTTTCTGGAACTTATGCGAAACGCTTCAGGAGTTTTACGCCCTGAAGTTTTAGACTCTTGTGAGAGCGTGACGACTTCTTCAAAATTTTCTCCATCATGTTCCTCTGTTCTATGCGCGCCTTATGGAGTGCTTGGTTTCAATATAAATTTATCGACTAGGTGTTGTTTTGTACGGACACAGAGTGGTCCACCTGTTTCGCCAACGTATCTGTCCCCACATGCTTTGCAAGAGACACCGAACCCGAACTCATGCAAATACTACCTCTACCGTTAGGGCATCATAGGCAGTTTTCCATTATGCATGGACCTCCATACAAGCGGTTACGAACTATCAGACTTTTAGAGTGTTGGGTGGTATTTGAATCACTTTTAACCAATTTTCCAGACCCGCCCTTCTTAATCAATGTTTCATAGTTGTACCCATAAAATAAAAAGATAAAGCTGTTGGCATTGATCAATCTCTGAGGGGTGCGCCATGCATTCGACTTCATTAAGCATCGTTTAGAGGTGATTGAATGCATATCTAACTTTTATAATGACTTACGGTGGCCTACCGATGTATCGAGCCAAAGCTGCACCTATATCGTTGGAAATAAAGGCAGGATAAACGGGACTTTATTTTCGCTAGAATTACCTTTTGGGGGCGTGGTTTCTCTTACACACCTATCTTGAGGAGCTACAGTTCCGTACCCATTCGAAATGGCTATTTGCTGCAGACGAACACAGGAGGGGTAGGAAAACTAAGCGCGCATAATACATAAACAGATAACGGGAAGGTTTTGAACGAGAAACCACCATCCTAGCATAAGAATGTAAAACTTAGCACGTAAAACCATCGAAGTATTGTGGACAAACCCCAAAGTTGCAAAAATGAACTATGGGGAATCCTTCTCGTTATCAGACGTGATTCCCCATAATATCTCAGACTGATATCTTAATGTGTGGCATGTTATCCTTCGATGTGAAATACTCTGTGTGAAAAACTCTCAGAAGACGGTAACTGTGTGAAAAAGCTGTTTACTTCCCCAATGCGATTTAAATTTGAGCTTCGCGTTTTTCTAATGAGGTTATAGAGGTATTTCATTGGTTAAATTGTAACATATCTTTCCAGGCTCTGAAGAAGGAGAAATCCGCCTAAACGTTAGTTACTCTTAATAAGTAGGATAATAACGACCTCGTCCGTCCTTATCAAGGAAGCATCGTATTGTTGATCAATGCCCAGGTCAACTGGAAGTCGGTCTGTGGAATTAAGTAGTATTGTTCTCATTGACTTTTCTTTCTATACAGTATGATTCACTTCTACATATTAGCATGAACAGTCTGATCCAATGTACTCTGTGCTACTTTTCCCTCATCCATTCGTAAATCTCACAACATCGATAAGGCATTGGAAACCATTAAGTCTTCCAAGTTTCTTTGAGTGACTCCGTTTCTGAAAGTTTAACTTGCACGTGCTTGATATTCGTGGTAACATAAATGAACTAGGACATACATATGTATGTATATATATGTATATATATATATATATATACGTATATACATATATGTGTTTAGAAGACAAATAAATTTGTGTGCTCTAGAGCTTCTCATACTACGTACCCTTACGTAATAGGTTCGCCGTTTGACTACCATTTACAGCTTTTTTATTCGTGACAATAGCACATTCTCATTCTAGTCTAATCATTTATACTTGATATTTGAACCCGGTCCTCACCAATTGTGCGGGCCCCAACATAATCACCATTTTTCGGAGATTTGCCTACTAAGCCATTGTGGTTCCCTGGAATCCCGAGGAGAGCCTGGCCAAAGTATGCCCCAGATCGTCACCACCACAGGCAGTCGCAGCCCTTGTGGATCAGAGGTAGATTTACCACCATGCGACTTTGATACTAGGACGGGGGGACGAATCCTCTCGCTGCACATCGCAATCCGACACCCAGGAACATCTCCCAGCCACGATGAGGCGGTAAACCGTTGGGAGGGTCCAATCATTTCTTCAAGTAAAAAAAGTAGATGGGAAAAATGATTGGATTGGAACTAGAATGGTGCTATAATATTATCACGAATAAAACAGCTGCAACTATTAGTCAAATAACGAACCGATTGCGTTAGTACAATCATCAGCACCATATTTTGTCAACACATATATGATGAAAAAAAGCTGGTAAGGAGTTGCATATTGTGAGACTCTTTGGACGGTATGACTTACTTATGCAACATAAACGATCATTCTTAGATCTTGATATCCTATTATCCTGTGGTGCATGTGACTTTATAGAGATCGTATTTGCGATTAGGGCGATAGGGCTGAAGGTTTTAGCTCTTCAGTTACTTTAATAATCGAGAAGTTATCTCCAGTTATCAAAAAACCAGTTTCGACATTGTATGAACTGGCTGAAGTTCATTACACCTTTAGATTGGTTTAACATTCTTTGGCCATTTTTTAAAATCATAGATCACTGTCTTGCTGATATCATTTGATCAAAAAGGATCAAAAAAAGAAGTATTTAAATTACGATCAGCTAACAATATAGTAATAGCCCCAGCTAAAACAGGCAAAGACAAGACTAATAAAAAAACAGTCACAAAAACAGCTCACATGCACAGTATCAGCTGATATCAGAGTTATCATTTAATTCAGAAGAACTCGAACAAATAGCGGTGGACCGGTCTAGAAATATTCTATATTGTTTGGGAAAAAATGGCACTATTCAGGTAGTAATGACTTGAACTGTTCTTTTTCTATCCGACTTTGTGGGTCTTTTTTGCTGAAAAGATGCATTACTTTTTCGAGTTAGGTCTTCGATCTGGGAGCTGACGGCGCGCAGTGCTCAAGGGTGTGTGTCGTCACTGCGGGTCAGATTGCGGTATGCACTTTCCAGTGTTACGGGTCTAGTGATTTTCCCACATTTTTCGCTTTTTTCCATGTATTCAGTGTGACTATTCAAGAAGTTCTTCCAGAGTGAAGCTCACCTAATGACTCAATATGGCCACGAAGAAAGCACTTTCACTAATATTACCACAATTTGTGCTCTCGAAGCGGAACAATCTAACCAACTGAATTTGGTAGCTTAAGTAGTTTCGACATATTTTATCTACTCCAAACCTTATTTATTTTTAGGTAGCTATTACCGTGAAAGGTGTTCGGATATATTTTTCTGTTCTGGCTCGAAGTGTGGCAGTTTCTGGATCACAGGAGCAATATCTGTCACAGTTGTCATGCAGGGTATCCTGCAGCGTTCGTCGATTTATTTTTTTTTATTTTTGTACGACTCATCTTGACATATACTGTGTGGATTCTGACTCTTTTTGCGTTCTATATGCTTGCTCTCATCCACCATCCACGAACGCCTTCGAACTTTTCACGTGTGCATTTAACTGCTGCCCAAGAGTTTTCTTTTTTGTCTGTGTCACGAATGTCGTTAAATGCCGATCGAGTCGGTTTTCCATGGTATTCTGACATGACCGTGCTAAAGCGTTCCCACTTAGACCAGAGAGAGTAAATTGTTCTTCTAAGTCTGCTTCTAATTTTCCCACATTGGAGGAGTGAGAGGTTTGCTGAGCCCGGTGCGGGATTAGAACCAACACCGTGCTCGTGAACATGAACATCTTCACCATCACTGAGTGCCTTCTTCTGTTTAGTTCAGTGTATGCGACTATAATCTAAGCCAGCAATGCTGATGGATCCTCTTTGATACATTTTTGATATCAGCCACTAAATGGGTTGGTAAACTTTTTCATCTTTCAGAATCTCTCTCTACAGGAAGTTCGACCGCAATGCCTTCGAGTTGCCCACGTAAGGTTTTCACCCGGTGTTGTCCCTGCGTCCGTTTATTTGGATACACCACAAGGAGTTTCTGTTGCTTATAGCGACCAAAGTACTCTTCAGTTTGTTTTATTGTCACAGTTACTTGGTGAGATTGTTTTTTAATGATAATCTGAGGTTCATTTATATCACAATGTCAGGTGTTTGTGTTATGGCCACTGCTAATCGCCACTTAGTGTGGGCCTTATCAGATCTTTATCATCCACACAAAAATATACACTGTGAATCCATGGTGAGTAAAATTTTGAAGTTCATTTTTAATGCCAAACTTCCTTCAGTTTTTTCTGTATTCTTGTATCCTAGAGTGATCTACAAGTTGCTGGAAATGTCTGGGCTATAACGCCTGTATCGGATAAGGTAATGCAACGATGTTTTTTTTCAATCTTAGAATTAATTTAGTCGCCTTGTTCCGTCGTATAGACATTTCCTTATTCTTTGAGCTCTTTTTCACAGATATACGTTACCTTCACGTTACCTTCTCAGTCAGTAGTTCAGAATACTTTTGTTCAATACTGTGATATGATTTATGGTTTTTCCGGGAATGTTATAATTTTTGATCTGATCCTAGGAATTAAGCCTTTGTTCGTTTAAGGCTCTTCGTTATCAGCCTCCTGAACCAGGTATGATTGCAAGAGTGCTACCTCATCAATTCTTCCGACAGTCGATTGAGACCAGGCCGCGTTTGCTTATTTGTACCAATGAGGTAGTTTTCAACAAGTGTATTCCAAATAGTCTTTCCATAGTTTATGTCGTTATAGATTTAATTTAGCCAGATAGAAATATAGGTCTACTTGTGTTGTTCTAGGAAATAAGATAAATCCAAGAAATATAACCATAATGATGCTGAGTTATTTCCAAAACAAAACCCATCACAAACACCAGCGGTCCGGTGTTTTGCAAATGTCTCAAGATCGCTATGTTATGTATTTCACATAATACTCTGCTATTAAAAAAGAATAGGCAGTAAATAAAAGTGCCGACATAAAACCGAGGCAATTTTTTCCTTGCTTTTTTTTGAATTGAATTGGAATCGAAATGGTTGTAACTCTGCTTATAAATGAAAATAAATCCAGGTCAGAGGAAATCTTTATTTTTGGTTTTTTTGGGTACCTATTCCTTTCAGTAGAAGTGTTCTTTTTTTCATATATTCATTTACTAGAGTAAAGATTTTGTTCAATTTAAAGGTTTAAACCTACTTAACCTAGTTTCCACTTTTTTTCTTTGCAACAAAAGGTAATTAACTAGAAGTTCTGCCGTCGTGTTACGATACCAGGACGATATTTCCGAAAGGTTTCGAGGGAATATGTCGTTTTAAGGGTATTCACGAATTTGACTACGTCACCCCTCGTGAAGCTCTACGCGAGGCGTTATTCGAAGGTGGTGCTGATGGTCGAGCGACGGTCGATGTATGGCAGCACTTCGGCGCAACAGAAACGCTTGTGTTGGCCTTAACTATCCTTACTAGTGATGTACCTATTGATGAAAGGATTAAGGAAAAGGTTTGTTGGAGTAATTTCCTTTTATGTTTGTTGATTATGTTGATATTTTAGGCTGCTTCTTTGTTCTTTGCTTTCAAAGACGCACCAGAGCTTGTGGACGTGGAACAAATGTATGAAACGGACTCTACGTGGTCACCAGGGGATAGCATACTTGAATTGAAATACAAGATGAGATGTGCGGCTTCTTTTCTTCTCTTTCTCTCACTTCCCTCTGATTATAGCTTTGTAATGATCTCTTACAAAACTTTAGCACCTTTACAAGCGTCTACTCCTCGTTTCGACAACTATTCGAATATTATGGCTTCATCACCTTTTTGCCCATCAAGTGAGTGACCATCGATTATTGCTTCTGTTCGGACTGACCGTGAAATGCTTCTTAAAGTTGGTCTTTCTGTTCTTAAGAAGGGCTAAAGTATGGAGTATTCCTAGGTGCTTAAAATGTTTTTCATTATTGGTTCAAAGCTTCAATAAGAAGCTGTGCAACATATAAACATTGGTCTGCAATACTGTGGTTCTAAAGAAATTACTGACAGTGAGGAAACCCGTCGCGAGTGGTGGACAAGGGTACCAACATTCGCCAAGTCGTAAACATGACGCACTGTACTACTACTTTTCACGCCTTGTGTCTCCGATTTGGAACCATCCTGTTTGCCGAGTGAAGAATGGAGTAGTAAGTCCTTATCGTTTTCGATTTAACGAACTTGTCAATATATTTCGATGAGAGTCATATTATACAAAAAATTTTTTCTGGGAAGTCATACTTTTTAGCTTGTTACGTCATTGAGTTCGCAAGAAATGGATTGGTTATCAGCTGAGTTGCGAAAACTTAGTGAAGTTATGGATAAATACGGTCTTGTTCCAAAAGCAGATTTTACATGGGAGAACACAAGCACTGGGAAGATGAATTGTATGCGTTCCGTTAGCATTGGATTTTCTACTCGTGAAGCTTCTATTGTTGAGGAAAAAGGCAATATTGGATTTCAATTAATGTGTTGTTTTAGTGCAAGCCTCAAACTTGGAACGGCAGTCGATAATCTCTCTCAAGAAAGTAATAGAGTTTTCGGCTGTGAGTAGTGTTTCCTTCATCATTAATCTCTGTTTTCAATCACAGTCCTGATCCATGAGATCCACGCTGTTTTGTTAGGAAGTCCTGTCACTATGGTCGTCGGCGAACTCATTCGATTTGAAAGCGATTTCCGCTAGTATGGATCCCATCACTCTTCCCGCACTGGCTAGTCGTCCTTTCTGTCATCTTGTATGTGATGCTCAACATTTCAACGGCGATCTCATCAGAGCTATGATTAGGTGAATAAAACTCCGAATATTTTTTATTTTTGAAAAATATTGTTCATCATTATCTACAGATACTTTCTTGGTGATGAAGCAGGAACAAAGGACCTATCGGAACGACTTCGCACGTTATGTCCTACTTTGTATTCCAAAGTAAGTTTATAGCAGTTGTTTTTAGATGTCTGTTGAGGGATTCTGTGCTTCTCTCATGCTGTGGATATTTTTTACTACAGGATGACGCATGCGTTACTAACGCGATGGAGCAACTTAAGTTGGCTTCCCAAGCTAGTTCAGGAGAAGTTCGTCGAAATCTTATTGATCGTGCGTGCGAATTGTTTCGACAGTCCATTGAGAAAGTTTCTCTCCCTATCGTTTGTCGAACTCTGACCGAATGTAAGTTTACGTTCGCAGTACAACAAATGCGAAATAATAGGCCACTATTTAAGTGTGGGCCTTCGAACAGCTAGCAGACTTGTGCTTGTTGAAAGCAAAACGGGACGACCCTAAGCAACTAGCGCTGATGTCGTATCGTCACGGTCGAACTGCTGAGGACCGTGAAGTTCAGACTGCAGAAAAACGGCGAGCAGAAAGCTACAAGTGAGTTACGGAGCAGTTGTGAGTTGTTGAATTGCTTCATTGCCCGTAGCCGTTATTTTTAGAGAGTCGACCAAGAACTGCTTCTAGGTTCCACGTTTTTTTTTACTAGGACTTGGTTTTGTATTTGTTAATACGACTCCATCATAATGTGGTTCTTAGAAAATTCTTAGCTACTAATTATATTTAGATGCATAATGGATACCTTAGATGATCTTGAAACGGCTTCAAATTCACCGCAAACGTCACCTGAAAACGTAAGTACATTATCATTGGGGTAGCAAATCTCTGGACTGACTCTCTATCAACCTCGGCATTGATCAGTCATTCATTATTTTCTTGATGAGCAGACGTGATGTTGCACTATTTATTCACAATAGCTGTTGTTTTGGCCGTATTGCCTCCTTCAGAGGCTGTGAAGGTTAAATTCACAGCAATCTACTCATTCAAACATTTGATAATCTCAGCAGATAAAACTTCATACATAAATTTTATTCGCATAATAAACAACTTTTTTTAAGCAGTCACCGTCTTCTTTATAAATCTTCCAGTTTTCTAAGAGACTAGCTGCAGTTTACTTGTTTATTGTGCCAATAAAATTTTATGTACTTCTGCCTTCCGAAGTTATAAAATTGTTTGAATGAGTAAATTGCTTGTCAGTTTGATTTTTCAGGTTCTGAAGAAGGCGAAACCGCCGAAACGTCAACTATTGTGGATAAATATTGTAAAAACGAACTCTTACCTGTCCATCAAGAAAACAGTGAATTTATGTCAGCTTTGTTTACGCACTGCTGTAATGCTTATGCGCTTTGAATAGCCTGTTGTAGGACACTAAAGGCTTCTTTTTGCGGTATATTAGGAATAGAAAACTACTTCATGGCTAATGGGTTTTCTATCTTTTCATGGTTAGCTGGGCTAACTGCTTGTCGAACAGCGATCTATAGCAGGGATTTTGGCGGGAGTGGAATATGGTTTGAACATTGTCATCTTGGACACTTGGGTACTTGGACGTCCTGTCATCTCTCCTTGTGCAGCCCTCAGCATATTCTCTATTTTTCGGAGTTTTGATGGTTTAGCCACCATATTTCCCTGGAATCCCGAGTCAACCTGGGCAAAGTCTGCTCCAGGTCGTCACCACCACAGGCACTTGCATCCTTGTGGATCGGAGGGAGATTTGCCACCATGCGATTAGTTTGATACCAGGATGGTGGTGGATCCTGGTATTGGTTTACTCTTAGCTGGGCTTCCTTATGGAAACGCCTGTCTCCTTCTCAGCTTGGGAGACTCTGCCAGAGGGATGGATCCCTTGCTGTACATCGCAGCCCGACACCGACGAACACTACCAGCTACGATGAGGCGGTAAACCGTTAGGAGGAACACAGTCATCGAAACTAAAAATTTCGACACTTCTATCCAGGAACTCAGCTACTAAACATTTGCCATAGGAGAGCAATACGTGTTACCCGTGACAACGTTCTATCTAAAAAGGTTGAAAAATGCATCATAGGAAAAGTGTAGTTTTTATCATCTCCATTGAGCGCACGGAGTCTAGTGAACAGCTCCTGTGCATGAAAGAGACGAATGGAGTTCACCTCTTTCCTTCCATTCTACCATTTATTCTCAACCCTCTCATTAGTATATCTAGTTAATTAGTCAAACCTGTGATGATTGTTAGGGATATCAGTTGTTAATGAGTAGCCCACTCTTTTGGAATTAGTTACTTTCACATGCTTTATGACGTTTTTTATTCATTTAAAGAATCGTTGGCTTCTTTCTATGCACTCTCTTCTTTTATATGCATAGGCACTAGAAGTGCTATAAACAACGCAATTATTTCTTCAGCAACAGTTTAAAACATTTTAACGCTAACCAAATATTAGTAAATTAACCTGTTTAGCTTAATGTCTTGGGCTGAGATTTCGGATAGTGGTGTCATTTGTGCCACCTATCGCCCATTGGTTGAATCATTGGTTGTCGAATGATTCGAGGAGGCGTCTATAAACCTTCCATTTCTCCCTGTCCCGTGCAAGAGAACACCTGTGCTTGGTTTCTGATACCGACGCGTAGCTTGCCGAGTTGGTAACGTGGGAGCTTGATATAATCACGGGTGGCTTGTCAATCTTTCACAAAATAGACGAGAAACTTATTTATTCGAGGGGATTTCTAGTCGCCTCCTACGTATTTACTTCAAAGTCACTTAGTCGCAGGCTTTTGGCCAAAGTGATTTGCAGAATATAAACCACACAAACGAGAACACATTACCGCATGCGTGCATGAACAAACACAGAAACAGGAACAAAAGAACAAACACGTGAAAACGGAAGCTAGGTGTCAAATCAGCGCAACAGAAGCAACAAGTCCTTCCCATGGATCCACCTACCTCTCAGAGAAACATGTAATCGCTGCTGGTTCGCGATTAACCCCTTATCCGCCATCTGAGGAGGCCTCACGTTGCCTCGCAACTAACCGAAACAAGATCCGTTTTGGAGAGATATCTATAGATAATAGTAGTGTTTGCACTTTTTGCAACATGAGTTTTTTTCTTTTCTTGATTTTGTACCACGAGAATTTATGTTCGTGCTAGATCTTTTGTTACTCTCCGCGACTCCTGCGGTTCACCTCACAATGTTGTCGGTGATGAGGAACTTATTGGCGATGCCATTCATGTTGTAATCGATAATTTGAAGGATATGAAGCCAACCTTGGTCTGGGTAGATTTTCTCTTGTGTTCATTGGTCATAACCAGTTCTCCATTTCTGTCTGCGGTCTCGCGTATGATTGGTGACTTAAATCGTCTGTTTTATATAGGTATGCTGAGAAAAAAAAAATTCATTCTGATTTCCGTGAGCATTCAAATGCTGAAGATTAACTTTGTTTTACCTTGAAATTCTTCAACAAGTGTCTAAGTGCTAATCCAATTACGGAATTAGCAAGCACTTGCCACAGTTTGTAATTCCATTTCTCTTCCACAATGCCACAAATTGAAAGTTCACCAAGAAGTTACGTAAATATTTCGTAACGTCAACGATATATTTGGCTAGAGAAGCTTCAATGCTGCTTCGGTCAAATCTTTACTTCAAAAGTTTTGTTAGAAGTCAGAATTATGAAGAATGTGCATTGTTTTCGTTTATAACTACCTAAAGACGTTAATCGATACGGGTCCAGAGAAAATGGCTCGACGACTTGCATAAGAGTACTACACGTAGAAACAGGAACACTGTCAAGTTATCGCAACGGATTTCATCACTCAGAAAGAAAAGAAATGCGTCAAATGTGCACTGTTTGTTCACAGTTTCATGTCCTCAACGAAAACTCCATTTCTGATCCAGTCGATATATGTAGTAGTGGACGTTCTAGATAACAGTTGACGAAGGTCAACCACCGTTTCTGGAAAGCAAGTTTGAATTGGAGTAAGGTTAGGAAGATTTTCTTCTATAATTGGCCAACGGAATTCTTCACGGCTTTTTGAGTTTTTGCGAAATCGTTTTGCAGTACAACTGTTCCACGACAAATCCCGATCATTTGGCACACATTGTACACACTGAAAGGTGGAAGAATTATGACGCATAACTGCTTAATTCAGCTTGCTCACCGGAACTCTTGCATGCTGAATACTAATTATCTCCAGCATGCCATCAGCTTTCATTACTATACCGGCGATGGAAACGCCTCCGGATTCCTGATCTCAGGACTCCCAGATCTTGCTGCTTGTGAGAAGTCCTGTACCTCGTTAGCAGAAATGTGCTGCCTTTGCTGCTCTCTGTTTCAAATGCTAAGGTTAAACTAAAGTTTACTATGGGCTGGTATATGTGAAATAAACACACTCGTTGTGAATGAGTTGTCAAGTCCCTCCACACTTTTGATTAATAAAATCTGTTCTATTTTCGCAGATGTAGCCACTATACTTTTGTTGTTCAGTCCAAAGGTCGTATAAAGATGGTTCTATGAAAGCTCCATAAATGCAAGAAGACTGTGAAACTACATTTGCATGTAGAGCTACGATTATAAATACGAACTAATATTAGTTATAGATCCCGATTTGGTGCGATATGGTGCCTAAAAAGCTGAGAATTTACGAGGAAAGAATTTATGACTTCATAAACAGCGTTTACAACCTTTATTTGCTAGTAGTACATATGTGTCTCGTAAAACATAAAGGCAATTTGATCAAAGTTCTTCATTTTACTTTTTTTCTGGCCCTGGTTTCTCAAAAATTGCTGCTACCCGTTTTACTCCTGTAAAAAGAACGTTACTCTGAAGCGACACAGCAAGCCGATCAGGGTGAAGTATATCTGCAATTATTGTTTAGTTTGATTATTCCCATGAGCGTAGTAGAATTTTTGCAGAGACATTTTACTTCATCGTTATTCTTTCACTAAAGATGATACTTTGCTAATGTTGAACACCCAGGGATATAATCGCAAAGATTTTGTGATTCGCTAAATGAGGTAGAGTTTTGCTTCCAATTTCTTCAGTTGTTATGGGTTACGCTATTGTTTATGCGACTTGTAGTTTGATGTTCCTGTGCAGAAGAAATGGAAGCCTTCTGTCTCCTTCGCTTAGCAAATACCTCAACCACTAGAATTGAAAAGTAGTGAATTTCATAGAGAGGAAACACCTCGCTCTATCGATTCATTCTTTATAAAATATTATTTCATGGTTAGATTTATTTGGAACTAAGATTTACAAGAGACAATGGTATTTAAATATTTCAAGATTTCTTAGGTGTGAAAACCATAAACGCAAGCGTTGCATTGAGAAACACTATCGTATATTGCTTGGAGAAGTCCTACATATTTTCACAGACCAACTTCCCGACTGATTAACGCTGGTTTAATTTTCTAGTAAACTATCACTATCAGCTAGAGTACACCGAAAAACAGCCGGATTGGGAGGTGTGATAGCATGCATATTGATATCATCTCATCTTGATAAGCGCACGTAACAGTTTCTCTCATACTTTATAAAGTTTGGACAGAGTGGTTGGTGGTATTGCCTAATACTCCTAATACTAAAGATTTACCGTCAGGCTTTACGTTTTTCGTCCAAATTTCCTTCACAGTCTTTCCCTCGGGACATTTGATGTGGTAAATTGCAAAGTAATGTCGGTGACCTTCCGGAATTTCTTTATTCTGAAATAGAAAATCTAGAGATCTGCTACAAGTTCAGATTTTTACTGAGTTTTAATATGGTAATTCCACTGTACCTGAAACCACATACGAATCGTTCCGGTTTCTCCAGGTTTTATGAATCCCAGTGGTGGTTGAGCTCGGAAAATGTCTGCCGATGTACATTTCACCTATACACTTTAGTTTATAAGCTCGCTAATGAAGCTTTTGTATTGATTTCGAAATTTAGTCCGGTAGCAACGTCTTCCTTCCAGACGGCATAGAAGGGGCTATTCTCTGAGATTCTTGTGCTAGTAAAAATGTACCTTATAACTTTGTTTATCTTTCATAGGGTTCGTCAGCTTTACGTCAGTCCACACTGGTTTCTTTTCAGCTGTACATTGAAATATCACTTTTACTGGCGTAATCGTCATTTTGAATTCCGGCTCGTTTGGTCTAGAAATTTTTTACTAGGGAGGCAAATAGTCTGTTAATGTTTTTAAAAATGTAAAATTGTTGCTGTTTTGCAGGTTTACCTATTAAGGAGGTACGCTTCATCTTCTGGTGCTTGATTGCTGTTAACTGATGGAAGTATAGGGTTCCTAACTGGTGAAAGTATAGGTGATACGGTTTCTTTCTGCTTTCCTTTTGACATCTTCAAATTGTATTATAAGATTGAAGCCCTGCTTTATAATACAGAAGGCTCTGGTGGTTAAGTAGCTCAACAGACAACTAACTTCGTTACTGGAACGGAAACTGCCTCTCTGGAAGGAGTTAAAACTGCGAAATGAATTACCTGCTTCGGGTTTATATACCTTTTTTGAAGACAGTCGTTGGTATCAGTATATCGTGTTTTGGAAGAAAGTCATGTTGATTCGCGTAATCACATAAGTAATGTATTCAAGGAAGATTTATTGTTCAGCAGTTCGATTAAAATAGTTTAGTGCTTGGTACTTGGATGGCTTGCTTTCTCTGGTTGTGCGAACCCCAGCACAATTTCTACTCTTTCGAAGTTTTGCTGGTTTAACCATTGTGGTTCCCCGTAGTCTCGAGATCATCCAGGCTAAAGTCTGCTCCAGGTTGTCACTACCACAGGCAGCTGCTACCATTGTGGATGAGAGGGAGATTTGCCATCATGCGACTAGTTTGATACCAGGACGGTGCTGGGTTCTGGTTTTGGTTTGGTGCTAACTGGACTTCGGAATGGAAACTACAGATTCTTTCTCAGCGTGGGATACCCTTCTGAGGGGATGAACCCACCGCAGTACATCGCAACCCTACACCCACTAACCTCTCCCAACCACGATGATATGGTAAACCGTTGGGAGGAGAATGTAATGTAGTAATAATGTGAATAAAAGTAATGCAATGTAAAATAATGTAGTAGGTTGAAGAATTATGGAACAGGACTGTAGTATATCAATATATCAAATTATCAATATATCAAAAAGGATATATCAAATTTTGGTCGGTCGCAAAAAAAGAGTAAAATTTCACCCTATTATTTGACGGCAGTATAAAAATGAGCAATAGGTTATGAAACACTTGGTGCTTAAGTAATTCTTCGTATTTTTGTTGAGCAAACGCGAGGTGTTATTATTCTTTATTCACGAATAAGCTGACGTTTCGGCGGATTTCGCCTTCAGAGCCTGGAAAGGTGAAGTTGATAGCAATCTACTCAGCCAGACGCCTCCATAACCAAACAAAGGAACTCTAGATGAATTATGTTTAAAAAAATTAATGCGATTATATAACTACGTATTTAGTCTGCTGAGGTTTTGAAGGTGTTTAACTGGGTGGATTTCGTGTCAAACAACCTTTTAAACGCTAAGCGTTTTGTTCTTTGCAAGTCTTCCACTTATTTGGTAGACGATAGCGGCACATAGAGTCTCACATGGATGAGAATTGTGCCTATCTCGAGTCAAAAAATCAGCTTTAGGTATCTTGCGCAGGACTGGTGGACTGACAAGAATTTGTTTAGCGATAGAAAAAAACGAGTGGGTCTGGAAAACTACTGGTATTCTTTCGCGTTGTTGTAATTTTCACTTCGTGAATTGAGCACATTTCAGAAGGTCTATATCAACCGTCATCTCATTAGTCTTGGAGTTGCTTGAATGTGCAACAGTGGAACCTAAATTTTATATCAATAACTTCGTGTCTCTTCAAAACGAAAACATAAATTTATTGATCAGTCCGTATTTCTCATCAATAAGCTAACATGATGTTGATAAAAAGGTGCCAAAATTTTGGCCGAGTAGAATTTTTTTGAATCAACCTTTTGTTAGCTTATCAGCGAAAAATACATGTTGACTACATATGCCGAGGTTAAAAGGAAAGTCGGTTTTCGAAATACCACTGATCAGCATTGAGGTTAATAAAAATTGGTCCAGGGAAGTAGAATTCCGTGTTTCATTCATCCGTGTCATTTGCCAAAGTTAGTTAGTTACATTAGCCCGAAGAAAATGAATAGTGCCAAACTTTTGGTACGAGGTCTTTTACTACCGCTGTTCTCGTAGACAACAAGACTCGATTGTCAATGATGCGATATTGCAACAAAACAAGCCGAAGCAATTTGTTTATAGGAGGTATTGATCTGAGGAGCGAAATCTAAATAAGCACTTTCAGGTTTTAAATTCCGAGCTGATAATGTCACGTATAATATCTAGTGACGATGAACTCGCTCATGCAGCCTTATTCCGATGGATGCTTGAGCGCAACAAGGCAAATTTGATTCTTCAAGTGAGCTAAGTTTGCTAATTTTACGCTATTTTTATTTTTTTTTTCCACGTCAACGGCGTTTTTCATCCTATTTTCCTTAAACGACAAACTCCATTTAATAAAATATTAGTATTTTTTGTGCATATCGATAGTATTAACCCTTTGCTTGCTGCCTAGTACAGTTTTTCACAGCAGGGTGTTATGTGTAACATAACTACCATGATGCTGAGATATTTATGGACTCGCCCGTGACTGCGGTAGGGATCGAACACGTTATTACCCTTTCCGGGGGCTAACGCCTTCACCACCACGCCGTGCGGGGCCTTCGTTTCGCCTTTCTCTCAGCTAGTTTTCCATCTACCACTGTCATCAGCAATCACCCGTCGACGGAACTGATCCCGGGTTAACTGAATTCAGTGTACTCCCCAGATCAATCCCGTTGATGTCTGATTGCTGATGGCACTGGTAAATGAAAAACTAGCTGAGAGAAAGGCGAAATGAAGGACCCGCACGGTGTGGTGGTGAACGCGTTAGCCTCCGGAGAGGGTAACATCGGTTTCGATCACCCCTGCAGACATCTGCGGCCCAGAGTTTTGCCAATATCTAAGCATCATTATAATATCGATAGTATTTGTTAGCTTATACAATTTTCGCCTTAGGTTAATAATTACGGAAACCTCAGTTCGCTATTACCTACATGTCCAAATTTTTAAAACTTTCGATTGTTGTGGTTACTCCATAGTTATTAACTTTGCGAACTCGTTAATAAGTAGACCATACATCGTTCAAAGAGAGAATTTTAATTGACGTAGTTTATTATCCTTAGGCTTTTTTTTTTACATCGGAGCTTTAAAAATCGAATAAAGCGTCGTGCATCTAGAATAACATTAATTTAACTTGTTGCTACCAAGTGTGACGCACTCAGAAGCTAATTATTTTGGTAAATTTGCGCTGTCGTTATGTCCGAAATTTACCTGCAACTCCTTTCGTTTTATTAAATTGTATTTTTACAGCCGTATTATGTTATAGAGTAAGTCACCATTTGTGGAACAGTTTCTCATCCATGAAATCAGTACCGGTCGTGGCCAGCGCTACTTAGAGCTGTTATGGCGATTCTACGAAAAGGCTGGATATTACGACAAAGCGGCCATCTTGCTCAGCCGGTTGGCTGACAGCGAAAAGTATGTTAGCTTTTGTTGTGATAACGTCAACTTATCCCTAACTTAACGGTTATGATGCAGGATTCTGCGTGATGAGAATAGTTTGTACCGGATATCCTTCATTGCTTTGTGACATGGAGAGATTTTGCTTCTATTTAGCGAGGACATTTCTTTATCACAACGTTTCGCATATCTCTCGCACGCCATCATATGTGCCCAAGCAAGCACCGATACGAAGACGAAGGCCATGATTCAAGAATTGCGCGACAAGGTCGAAGTTGCACATATTCAAATGGCAATAAAGTAAGTGCAGTTTTATGTCTAACTCGATGGTGAAACTTGTACGATTTGTGACACTTGTCACTTGTTCCGTCTTTTTTTACCTTTATTTTTTTTCTGTATCGATAACTACCGAAATAAGTGTGGCAGACAGTGGGTGTGGCTTGACACGTAACTCCGAACATGAATTGATATCAGCTCATAAGTCCCCCGAAAGTATTTTCGTCTGCCAAGTCTAACGCTCATGCGATTAAGTCGGTTTTTTGAAAACATTTGGTAACTTTTTTATTAATAAAATAGTGGAAATGTTGGAATCTTTACAGATTTATAGAAAAGATTTTGTGCTATCGTCTTATGAATACATATCAGTTTTAAAAAGAGAACTCCATTTTTAAGATTTTTAAAAGTAAGGCTGTCAAAAAATCGGAAGCAAAACTTTAATCTTAACTCTTTTATTTACTGCCTTTTTCTTCTTAATGGCAGGGTATGTTGTGAAATATAACTCGTATGAAGTGCTGAGATATTTGCAAAACT